TTTATTCAGGGGGGAAGTAATTGCTTTAAATTTATAAATCAATTTGGAGAGATTGTATTATTTATCATAAAATAATGAAACATTTTACTCAGGGATTTGGTGGGTAGCTTTTTTTTTACTTGAATACTTATTTTTTAGGGAGATATTTTATTTTTATTTTTTTATTTAAGTATTTTATTTTATATAATCCTTACATCTTTTTCCATCTTTGCACAATGTATGCATTTTCATTTTGGTTATATTCCCCATACAATTGCACCTCCCCCCTTATTTTGACTCTACTCCTTCCTTTACTTGAATACTTTTTATTCAAGTCAGTTAATTTTTAGTACTTTTTATTCAAGCCATTTAATTTTTTAATTTTATTCATTTAGAAGCTGAACAATTTACACTAGATTTTTCTTAGACATTTTTTGCACAGGTGTTAACTTGGCATGCTCTCTTTGCTGTCTTTAGGAAGGTCTGCTTGCAAAAGTGGCCATGGTTTGTGTCTTGGAACTTGGGTTTTGAAATGTTAGTCCTAAGTGATAAGGTTCTTTGGAATGCCAAGGGTACTGAATTTCACTGTGCCAACCTTCTTAGGCATTTTTTTTTCTCAACAATGTGATTCATGTAAGTACCTACTTTCTTTCTGTGAGTTTTTAATGATTATGCAGGCTTAGAGTGCATAACAAATCATTGAACTCCAAGTCTCAAGGTTTTCCTGGGCAGCAACTCTATACATGTTTCTGTATTTCTTAACTGGAAAATGTTAGAAGTTTACAGATGGATTTGTCCAAGCATCATCTGACATATCTTTTTCTCTTACTAGGCTCATTAGTTTTTGAATTTCTTGGCTTTCCCTAGTAAGCCTGATAATGCCATCTCCAAATGATAAGTCTGTGTCCTTTACTTACTATAACTCACATTCATTTTTCTTGTCATATTACATTGATCAGATCTTCCAGAACAATGTTGAATAAAATGGTTGACTTGAGAAAGGCATATTTTAAGGTTGAATGGATAGAACAGAAGTTGTTCACAATTTCAGGGAAGAAGAAAGTGGAATAGGTGAGAGGTTGGGAGAAAATGAGTCTGAGGGAGAGGGGGAAAGTCCATGTACCTCTAGGTTGGAAGATGGAGTGAATGGTGATGGATAGAGATCAGAATTTGATTGGAATCAGATATGTTAGGAAAGGTGTGGCACTGAGTTTTGTTTGTGTTGCATATGAGACACCTGAGAAGCAGTTGGAATTCACATCTGGAGAATAGAGAAGCTGCCCAGGAAGGGTAAAGCTTCTGGTTCTCAGCTTAGCATTATCCATCGATCTAGGTGAGGAGGGACAATCGAGAACATATAAGGAATATCAGTATCCTTGCCCTGTATTTTATTGACTGATTAATGACATTATTAACAGGCCCTATATGAGGCAAAGGATGGGAATATTTTGTGAAATTTAATGGGATTCCATCCTAGTTCTCATAAGTAAGCTGCGATATATATTTTTTAAAGATTTATTTTTATTTATTTATGCATACAAGACCTGGGGGGGGGGGTAGGCCAGAGGTGCCTTCTCTGGTGAGAAGATTCACCAGGGACAGAGTGGGGAACAGAACAGGTGGAGCTACTGAAATACACTGTTGAGGGGAGCAGCAAGTCTGCACCATGTGGGTTAGCTCCCTGGCTGGGGATCGAGCTCATGCCATGGCATCTTGATGGCTTGATAGTGCGAGATTTTAACCCCTGCACCACCAGCGAGGCCCTGTCATATATCTTAATAGGTTATCACAATGAAATCCTTTGTGCATAGCCGCATGAATGTGCAAATGAGCAAACCCATATTTGATCTTCAGTCCTCTATGGGCAACACTGCTAGTTTTGAATTTCTTGGTTCTGTCTTGGTCTTGCTCTGTTCATTCTTGTTTCACTATAAGAAATTATCCACAGAGAAGCCACAAGCATTTTTTCCCCTTTGGTCAGCCAAATGTGGCATCAATCCCCATGTAATGTCTCACCTCTTTGGACTCTATCACCTTCTCAGCTCATCAATTCCATCTCCTCTCCTCACTCCCTCAAAGGACTCTACTCAAAGAACTCTTCATTCTGTTTCTGCTTGAGAGTCTTTGTATATGGTAGACACTAGTAAATAGGAAATGAATGTATGTCCCTATCTTACAGTTTTTCATGAGAAGTAAATGTAAAAAAACAATATGAAGAGCCTACTGTGCCTGTTGCTTTAAGGGTGTCCATCCAATACCCCTTTTCATCTCTTTTGTATTTACCCAGATCCTATAAACCTTGCATTTCTCTCTCCTCTTCTCCCTCTACCTTTCCAACTTTTCCACTCCAACCAGCTTTCTCTCTTTGATTTTTACATCCCCACAGGCTAGAGACCATTTTGTTGATACACTCTTTTCTTCAGGGGGCATTGATGAGACTGCCTCAGATTCCTGGTTTTTCATTTATGTCTTCTCCTGAGTAACCCTGTTGCTTATTGTGCTTATATAATTACAAGTTCATTTCTGTTCCTAAGAACACTGAGTAATCTTCCTGCATGAAATTTCCAGGATACTGGGATTCCTCTGGGAACCTGTCCCTTGACAGTTTTGAGGTCTCTGCCATTCAGAAAGCCCTATCCTGATCACATTATTGTGTGAGCTTGGAATCAGTTATTCATGAATTGTGGGCAGTGCTCATTGAACACCAACTCTGAGCCAAGCAAAGTCCCAAGCACTTTATACACATTACCTCACTTTATGAGTTCCATTTTATTAGTATTCGTGTTTTATACTCACTAACTTGCCCAAGGTCGCACTGCTACGATTTGCAAGTTAGGATTTAAGCCCAGATGGTCTCATTTCAGATTCCTGCTCTCTACTATGCTTTTATATTCTATAGTGTCTCCGTAGCCGTTCAGGGTCATAGAGCCCACTTTTATTCTTTAGTGTTTGATTTTTAAATTTTAAAATAAAATACAGTTATAGTTTTTAAAAATTCCAGCAGTTCCTCCATTCTATTCTACTCTTCCACTTCAAGTCTCATTTGCCTTATGGCAACTGCTATTAATGATATTTTCAGAATTTTTTTCTTTATCACAAAATTTTTCTTTTGGACCTCTTAGTGTGATCCTCCTGTCAGCTTTTCATCTTGTGCAGGGTTGACTTATTTTTAGTTGGTACAAGTTGAACAAATGGTCCGAAGGCAACTCTTACCTAAGAGAAAGGTGTTCCTCTTGTGTCCCAGGCAGACCTAAAATTAATGCAGTTCTTATGTATTTGGGACCCATTTACATGAGTTTCTGCTTGAAGGAGATCTACTTTTATTCTAACTCCAGGCTGATGAATTCTTCAAGTTCCCACGACAGGAGCTGTTATTTGACCATTCATCTATCGCTCTATCCACCTTGGTGCACAGAGAAAAATGTACAACAGCTCTTCTGGCTCAGAAAATGGATTTCAATGCTCTTTTCAATGCATGACTTTGTGGACTCAAGAATCAAATGTTTTCTGAACAATGTGAAGAGTGTTTTGTTTGTGAATCGTTGTCTTTGCTCTACTCTTCCCTTTCTGAAGAAGAGCTCTATAATTTTTAATCAGCAACATAAATATGCCTCTATGGAAATGGCCAGGCTTTTCTGCATGTAGAGGAACATTTTCCTAAAAAGTGAGGTCACCAGAAGCACAGAGCAGAGAAATCCCAGATGGCACTAATATTTGATTTCATTTTTAGCACGCTCATATTCAGCAGATGGATTGGAAGGCTGACCTCTCTGACACTTCTGCATCACTACCCGCTACTCCAATTGCCTTTGTGAATGTTTTTTCATAAGGCTTCTCCTGGTGCCTCAGAGATTGATGCCTGGTTGCCTGCCTGTGTTATGCTTCATTACGCCAAGGCGCTGTGTGCTCAAGAGTGGCTGTATTATATAAAAGGGGAAATCCTAGCTCATCAGTATCTCAAACTTTTCCTGCAATCTCTCAAATGGCTTGTGATGGCTCAGGGAGCACCATCTTAGCTTTCTAAGTCTATGTCTGATTTGTGACCATTTTTAATTTTTCTAATTTTTTGGCTTTCTTCATGAGAGGGATAAATTATGATTCTTAAAAAATCCTCTAGAAATGACTAAAGTTAATTGTTTCCTATGTCCCTACCAGACACAGAACTCTAGTAATTTTAAGGCAAATATTGCTGAATTCCTCCTTATGCTATAGCTTCGGTAGGTAAGGGGACAAATCTGGACTAGTGTTCCCAACTGTACCATTTTCTTTACTTTGGGATAATCTTTACTTGCCTCAGTTTCCTTGCCTGAGAACTTATGATATGATTAGTCCCTAGCAGTTAGCACTGGTGTGAGGTTATAAGAGGTAGTAAACGTTAGGTGCTTGGCACAGTAAAGCACTGTGGATGCCAATTTGCAGTATCCTTGATATTTTGTTGTGTATATGAGTGTAACAAATAAAATACAAAATGTAAATAATAATAAAATAGTTTTAATTTTTTAAATTACAAGACAGGCCAATTTTTAAAAGTTTTTAATGATCAGATGGATGCTTTGTTTAAAAACTTTTTATAAATTTATTTTATTCACTTTTAGTGGATCATTGCATAACCCAGCTGCAGCACCCCCTCCCCCTCCCTCCCACCCTCTCCAGCTAGTTTGTATTTCAGTGATGTGGTGAAAAGAAACTGTCACACAGCATGAATATCCAGTGGGTTTTGTGTTTTTCCTGGCTGGTTGACCTATGTGGCTGTGCTGTTAAGTTCTCAGGAACACTCAGTTCTGGGGAGGATTAGGTTGCTTCAATCCTTACATGGTGCTGAGTCTCACACAACCAGATTTTGGTACATATTTTAGTGCCATGCATGCTTTTAACTTAGAAAACACTGCAAACTTAATAGCCTTTTTTGCTTGAATTCTGATTCAAGCCAATGTAGCATGGATGAGTTTAGGCTTCAGATGATGAGGCTGTTGCTATGTTGTGAAACTTTCTTTAGGAAGTTACTTTCTTTATTTTTATAGATCTAATATAAGGCCAGACTATGCAGATTCCAACTTCCATGAGTTCAAGATGCACACCTTTACCCGGGTTTCATCCTGCAAAGTCTGCCAGATGCTCCTCAGGTAAGCTTTCTCTGTCCTGCTTTTTCAGCTTAATGGAACTAATATGATGACTAAGTGCTTCAGATATTTATAATATTCCAATCTAAGTGTTCTGAAGTGGGGATATGGCTTTACAGTTTGGATCCAACAGGGTGTTGCTATGCCTGGGACCTGGACAATTGCATTCGTGTCCCCAGAAAGGCCCTTGTCCTCTGCTGAAAAGAATTTTGAATTAACACTGTATTTCCTTGCTTCCCTTTCTTGCACTAATGATTTCATATAGGCTGAATTTAGCATCTTTTAACATATCACTCTCTAATTTTACCTTTCAGAGGAACATTTTATCAAGGCTATTTATGTTTTAAGTGTGGCGCGAGAGTGCACAAAGAATGTTTGGGAAGAGTAGACAATTGTGGCAGAGTTAATCCTGCTGGTAAGTCATGTTTATTGTTGTGCTTCTGCTTTTAATTAGGACATAAAACTTGCTAAACTTAATTATGGCTTAATTTACTCTTAATATGTGTTTATTGTAACATCTCTATTTTGGAAAGTACCATTTATAAGCACAATTAGAAAATTATTTGAAATTCATGGGGCTTGTGCATGTACCTGGCAAACAGGGGACTTAGGAGGGGCTTGGAAGGTGTCATGTTATCCATTTAATTAACCCCAACTCCCACATCTCACTAACAGTGTACAAATAAAGCCAACACTACAAATGGAGTAACAAAAACAAAGCCAAAAAAGTTATTCTTCACTTACTGTGTTTAGTTACTTCCTTATTCTCTTAAATAGCTCAGAAATACTAATGATACCGGAAATAAACATCCCACAGCCTAATTCATGAATAAATGAATTGAATACATTGTCTTTTTCTAGATTTTACATAAAGCATATATCCTTTGGATTTTGTGTAAATATTTTCTGCTTGGTTTTAAAAATAATGCTCCACAATTGTTGCATGAGGTAGTTTTCTAAGACTGTTGGCAATTATGTATTCAGTAGCCTTTGCCTCTCTGCTCCTCTTGGGCTCTCTTCTCTTTCTTTTATGGCCTCTTTATTCTTTCTCTTTCTTCTGCTTTCTCTTTGTCCTTTTCCCTCGAGTTTCTCTGTGCTTTATCAATAAGACCTTTCAAAATAAGTAAAACTTTTTGAAAAGAAGAAAGGGATCTTTAATAGCTTGAGTTCTAAAGGTAGCCATGTCAACCTTTGATTTTCCCAAAGGAAAAGGTGGACATTGAATTATTTTGGATAATATGAAGAGTGAAGCAGAGAAGAATAGCTCATTTCAGAACTGAGTTCAGAAAATGGGCAATTGTAAAAAAAAAAAAAAAGGTGTGAATCCTATTAGAGGGCTGAGATCACACAAATTCCTCTTTTGCTCCTTCAGCAGGTATTTTTAAGGACCCTGTGAGCCTTTCTCTGTGCTAGATATGGGCAGCTGCAAGGAGAAAGATCCCGTATTAGTTGAGCACCTGCATGGTGCTTGCTCTGCTTGGGCTATTGCTCCACCTTCTTGTATGAGCTCAGTCATCCCCAGGGCAGCCAAAGTGTTTATGCAACTTTGCTGACAAGATTAGTACCTACTCATGTTTTTGAAGTTTTATTACAATAGTTTACAAAGTTATAATAAAAGAAATGTTATGTACCAGTATTGTTATTCTTTAATTGCCTACCTGATACAATGGATCCCTTGAATTTCTTGTTGCTCAGTCATTCTGGGACCCATCATTTACCTTTGAGGACAATGGACATGCTGTTTGCTCATGTATTTTTATAAACCCCAGAGCCCTGCCTTGTTGAGGTTCAGTCTGTCAAGAATATAAAGTGGTCCCAGAATTGGCACACCTCTTGCATTCTAAAGGAAGTCCTATAGGAGAAGATTTGAGAATCCCATAGAGAAGGGTAAAGATATCACTCTCATTTGCTGGCTACCTGAGCTTGGGAAAGTTACCAAAACCTTCTGAGCTTTTGTGTATTCATCTTTAAAATGAAAATTAGAGGATTATTGTGAGGTTTGAAGGAAATAATGTTGGTGCTTAGCACAGTGCCTGGGTGTAAACTCCGTATTATAATGCAAGGTGTTATGAGAAGTCAGATTTCTTGTTTTATTTTTTTCCTCAATGAGATGGGCTTCTTCTGTACTTTTGTTACCATTTTATCATATGCAGCAAAGGTGAATAGAAAAATCATTGAACAACCAAACTTGGAGGTGACACACAAAAATGGCATTAAAATGACTTAAAAATTTTAACCTTTATGTTTAAAAAGTCAAAAGAAACAGGAATTCCTCGGCCAGCTACATCCAAGCATGGTGCCTTCCTAGTGCCTGTTCTCATCATGGTCTCCATGTCCTCTATGTGGTGAGACAGCGGGTGTTGGCACAGAAGCCACCAGCTGTGGGGACTTGGTTTGAATATGGTTCGGCAACTTAGATGCTGGGGGACTTTGGGCCCCAGTTCTTTAATCTTTGCCAGTCTTGGTTTCTTCCCTTATAAATAGGGATAACAGCACCTCTTATCCTTTAAAAGTTCTTTTGAACAAAGACTTACAAAGTGCCAGGTTCAGTTCTAAGTACTTTACCACTCTATTGACTTACTTAGCACTATCAAGACTTCGTAAAATTGGTTTTATTGCTGTTCTGATCTTAACAGGTGAGCAACCAAGACACAGAAAAATAAGTAACTTGTCTAAGCTGTTTAGTCATTAGTGCCAAGGTGCAAATGCAGAGAGCCCAGCTACTGGGTGTTCTTAACCCCTGGGCTGTGCTCCTGGTTCTGTCAGTTAACTCTGGTGACACATGTCCAATGCATAGTACTTAGCCCTAGTGAATGACCGTGTGCTTTGTTTTCTCTGTGAAAGAAAGAATTTTCTAATAGCTTTTAAAAGCAAAACGACTTTGGAATTTAATTAAATTAGTAACTACCAAACACATTTTTATTTAAATGTTTTGAAGTGCTAAGAGCAATTCAGACATCTGTGCAGGACATATTTGCCTTTTCCCTATGGAATATCTCAGGATGGTAGAAATTTAGACACCTCAACTTCCAGAGCTGCTTAATTTATTTTATTTTTTAAATTTATTTATTTATACAAGCACTGGGTACAGTCAGAAGTGGGGGAGGGTGAGAGAATTCACTAGAGCCAGAGGAGAGAGCAGAGCAGGAGGACTGACAAAGTACACTGCTGAGGGGAGCAGCCGGTGGCAGAAGAGGTCTGCCCGCCATGTGGGACCCTCGCCCAGCGGCCGGGGATCGAACCGGCACTGCAGAGGCTGCGGGCAGCTTCGCAACCCAGTGCTCAACCGCTGTGCCACTGGGGAGGCCCCAGAGCCTCTAATTTTAAGATGAGGAATCTGAGTCAAAAAATAAGACAATAAGATAACTATAACCAAGACTTTCAGTGCCTTGAAGATTATAGGTAATGCTTCTTTATACAGATAGCACTCATTAAAAGGTAGTTTCATACTCTAAACCTGTTATATAATTCATTATAAAGTAGGAAAGAGTTTTTTAACCTCTGGCTAAATTTGCTTCTAGAAGTTATGAACACAATCCTTTTCTTGTCTTGATTCTCTCTCTGCCCTGGATCCTTATGTTCTCTTCCATTCTCCTTCTGCTTTGTACATCTGTGTCCCTACTCTCTTTCATCCATATCTCTCCTCTCTCCTTCCTTTCTTTCTTTCCTCTCATTCTCTCCCACCCTCTCACTTATCCTCTCTCTCCCTCCCTCCCCCGCTTCTTTCCAGTCTCTCTGTCTTTTCCTGCTCAAGATTTTAAAGAGACTAATGACACTATCACTGAATGCTGAGTCAGCTAAGTAGTGGAACAAAGGACTAAGAACCTGCCCAGAATGCTCCCCCTTTTTTGCTTCCCCTAAATAGAGGGACCTTAAACTCAGAGCAAGGAGGACTCTATTATACCTCTACTAGCCACCTTCTCTACCACATTCCCAGACACCCTTTAAATTGGGAAGTTATGACATCCTGTCCTCCTCACACACTTTTCTTCACTGGTGTAGGGAGCAGTGGGTAAAGTGTAAATTTGAGCTTGGTGAGTCTGATGTGAATGTGATAAATTAGAGTAGTATTTTGAGGACATGAACAAGATCTGTGGGCCTTATCTAGCCTACAGAGATTCCCAATTTTTTCCCCAATGTTGATTTTAAGCTTTGCACGGTTGTTTTTGGTACCCAGGAATTGCTTATAGCATCTCATCCGTGTGGCTTCCATGACTGGTATGATGATGGCGGGAGGAGGGCAGGAAAAGACAAGACATATCAGGAACTGTACACATAGTTTACTTAAGTGGGACTTTTGTAAGGAGGAGAGTATGGTGTCATTTCAGGAGACACTAACTTGAGAGGAATTCATCCCAACAGCCAAATTTAAAGCAAGTGAATTGTGTTGGCAATATCAAATGGGTAAGCAAAATTCAGATTCCCCCATGAAATTAATCATAATGTTTTGAGATTGACTCCAACATTACAGAGCTTTATAGCTCCATTGCTTAGCACACTCTTCCTAGAGATTCTGATAGTCTTAGAGTAAGGCAAGAGTCCATTTGTTGTCCAGAAAGCTGTGACTTGTAGGAATGGTTAAATTGTTATAAATGGTGAATATTTGGGATGGAAGTTTGTTCCAAAATTGGGCCATGCCATTTTATTCAACACTTAACATATTGATAGATAAGAGAGTGGTCAGGTGGAGAAGAGGCTCTCATTGTACATGACACAATAACCCCTCGCTAGCTAAATGAAGACTAGAGAAACTTCTATTCTACCTTCTCATCACCAGATCCACTGGTCATCACATTTACCTTACTTGGCCATGAATCTTTCACACTGTTTTTCTCAGGCCTTTGAAGACCTGATTAATTTCCCTGACATTAGTCACCAACTGCACAGCATGCAGATAAGCCTCCCTTTCCATGTAAGGCCATTTCCCTGAACTCTGGTTTTAAAGTTTCCATCTTTACCTCACTTGCCGCTTTTCAGGTGTCCTGTACTGACCTCCAATTTCACATATCTAAAGCCAGCTTCATTAGTCACTACCACAAACTTCCTCCTATTATTCCTTGTCTTATTTGAACCACCATGCATATATTGAATCAATATATAGACCACCATGCATATATTGAGTCAATCCTGAATGTGAGCTTGAACTTCCCTTCATGCCTCAGCTTCATTCACTTACCTGTTCTTACTTATCCTTTTAAATCTCTTTAAATTAACTGATATGCTATTTCTGTAGATAAACATTTTTGAACATCTCATGTCTCTTGATTAGACAACCACAAAAGTTTCCCCACTCCTTGCTGTTCATCTTACTCCTTTTGTATAATTTTCAACTTGATCATTATTAAAAATGAAATCTAATTGTGTCACGCTTCTGCTATTTTACTTTCCATCCCTTACAGAATAATGTTCAAACTC